ACGATGAATTTGAAAATAAGTTTGCAAACAGTGAATTTGGAAGAAAAAAAATGGTCGCGGCCTTAAGAAAATGTTGGGAACAATGAATTTTATTAGAAAAGAAAATACATTCACAGACAATTTATTTAAAAGTATGTTCACGAACAACAAAAACAGTTCATGAATATGAAATAAATGTTCACAACTTTAAAAGAGTATTCACAAACAATAAATTTGAAAATATGTTCACGAACCACAAATATTGTTTACGAATATGGAAAAAATGTTTGCGACTCAAAAAATGTTCGCTGCTGATGAATGTAAAAAAAGTCCGCAAGAATTTGGAAAAAATGTTTGCGCATTTTTTTAAAGAAAAGAATATGTTCGCAAAACCACCAATATTGTTCGTGAATGATGAATTTCAAAATATGTTAAGGAACCACAAAAAATGTTCACGAATATGGAAAAAATGTTCATGAATGATGAATTTGAAAAAAAATGCACAAATTTCTTAAATGTTTGTTCATTTTTTAAAAGAGCGAAATTTAAATATTTAGTGGATTTAAAAATGTTCACAGATTAACAAAAACGTTTAGTTCATGAAATTTATAATATGTTTATGTATTTATAAAATGTTCATTAATTTAAATGTTCAAGGTTTTGAAACAAATTTATGAATTTGCTAATATGCTTATGTATTTACAAAATGCTCATTAATTTAAATGTTCAAGGTTTCAAAAAATGTTCCTCAATAGTGAAAAAATTGTTCACGACTTCCAAAAATATCGCTAACAGTTTTGAATTTATCATTCATGACTTTAAATGTTCATTAATTTGTGGTTCACGGACACATTTTCAAAATTACCATTTGCGAACATTTTTTCCTTATTCGTGAACATTTTTTGAAACCACGAATTTGAATTTATTTGGAGTGAAGTGCTTTTATTGTTCCCTGGAGTTTATTTGAATTTATCTGCATTTTCCGTCACCAGCCGTTACCTTGGGGAGCCCCCTGTCCGATGTGTCACGGGTCAACGGCGCTAGATGGCCGGTCAGGAGGGGTCGGACAGATTTTAGACCTGAATGACACACTTACTACACTTCAAGGATCTGGATGCCTATTTTTATAGTTTGAGGACCTACAAGACACCCCTGAAATAGTTTAGGACCGACCATGCACTTCACTCTTGATTAATTCCAGTTTATCTGGCATCCCATCCTACTGCATGCCTATGTTTGTCCTAAATAAAACCACTATTGAGAAGATGTAGAAGCCTAGAAGAATGTTCTTCTGCCAAGAGGGGATCAATAGGCGTAAGTTCCATATGGTTTGCTGGATTAGGATATGTAGATCTAAAGAGAAAGGTGCTACGGAACCGGAGTTTCTGCTCCCGGGCTCAACTGCACGCGCGCTCAGAAAAAAATGAAAAAAATACTAGAAAAAATTCAAACAAATCTAATTTTATTGTGTGATAGATAATTTGATGCGTCAGGTCTGCTTCAAATATTTTGATCATCTGAGCAGCTCCCGGCAAAAAAGACAAAATCAGGGTATGTAAAAATGGTTACTATTCATGCACTGTTCTGACCCGATTTGTCTTTTTTGCCGAGAGCTGCTCAGATGTCCAAACGCCTTGAAATTTGGAGTGGACCTCAGTACCTCACGTATCAAATTATCTACCACACGAAAAAAATTGCACTTTTTTTTGAATTTTTCTAGTATTTGTTTTGAAAAAAAAATCTGAGCGGGAGCAGATGAGCCTAGGCACCGAGTTGGATTTCCGGTAGAATATTAGTCTCTTAGTCAAGTAGTGGTGGAAACTCGAGACACATAATGGCTTATGGCAAACTATTGTCACTAAGAAATATCTTAAGAGACACAGTATTGCCTATGTTAAAACTAATAATTCTTCTTGCTGGAAAGCCCTCATGAAAGTTAAGGATGTTTACATGGTGGGTA